TGACCCTGGACCACAAAACCAGTCATAAGGGTCAATTTTTCGAAATTTAGATTTATACATCATATGAAAGCTGAATAAATAAACTTTCTAAGGATGTATGGTTTGTTAGGATAGGACAATATCTGGCCGAGATACAACTATTTGAAAATCTGGAATCTGAGGGTTCAAAAAAATCTAAATATTGAGAAAATCATCTTTAAAGTTGTCCAAATGAAGTTCTTAGCAATGCATATTACTAATCAAAAATTAAGTTTTGATATATTTACAGTAGGAAATTTACAAAATATCTTCATGGAACATGATCTTAATATCCTAATGATTTTTGGCATAAAAGAAAAATCTAGAATTTGACCCATACAATGTATTTTTGGCTATTGCTACAAATATACCCCAGTGACTTAACACTGCTTTTGTGCTCCAGGCTCACATATGTACACACAAATGTACCACAATCACTATGTGATTTTATCTGAAGAAATTCAAATGTGCAGGATCTCATTATGTTCTGTTGATTCTTATACTTGCTGGTTCTGTTTTGACAAACACAATGTCCCCCTGTTGCTGTTTGAACCACCGCTATTCTTCGTTAATATATGAAGAATTTGTGTGTTTTAAAAACAGACTTTACAAACTCCGTAACAAGCAGAGGATCTCCGTGTGTGCAGCCTCCAAACTGCTCTCCAACATGATGCTGGGATACAGAGGCATGGGCCTGTCTATGGGGAGTATGATCTGCGGCTGGGACAAACAGGTGAAGTCTGTCTATCTATACGACTGCTTTTGTGTTGTTTGCTTATTTGCATATTTTCAGAGTGTTCTCAGTTAAGCATTTTATACAATGCAACAATAAAATAAAAAAATAAAATAATTGTAAAGCTCTTAGTAAGGTCTTGTGGCACAATCATGCATACACATAATCGTCAGTTACAATAATATTACCTCTTTTCCCTCACATCAGGGTCCAGGCCTGTACTATGTGGATGATAACGGCACACGTCTCTCCGGCCGGATGTTCTCCACTGGCTGTGGGAACAGCTATGCGTATGGTGTAGTGGACAGTGGTTATCGTGAGGATATGACTGTGGAGGAGGCGTATGAGCTGGGCCGTCGTGGTATTGCTCATGCCACACACAGAGACGCTTACTCCGGTGGCGTGGTCAACCGTAAGTACCAGCAATACACTGTAAAAAATGATTGTGATTTTAACAGTAAAAGACTGTAAAAAGGCTACAATAAAAAACTGTTAATTGGTTATCAGTAAGTTTCCATAGTATATACGGTGAATAACTGTAATTACATTTAATGTAATTTTACAGTAAAGTACTGTTAAAATTACGTTTTTTGGAGGTGAAAAAGTCATTGTATAATTTACAGTGAAAAACTGTAAATTGACACTCCCAGAATTCCCTGCATGACACTTCATATTTTATGTTTTTTCGTTGAAATAACTATGTTTCTTCTTAGTTTTTTCTTATCAGTTGTGTACATTAGGGTTTAATCTTACATCTAATGTTGTTAAATTAATGTTTATTGCATTATTTCAGTATCATGTGTGTCACCGTGATGGGGTTTAGTGTTTGTGTGAATGACACTGTACACCTTCTATGTATATATATTAGAGTATTTTCCTTCTCAGCTTTTGAAAGAGCTGATTGTGATGAGCTTTGGTTCATCATGTGACTTTCTCATCACCACCAGTTTTTGGTGGTTATCAGTGCATTACAATGGTTCAAAATAGATATTAGTACTTCAATGTGTTGGTTTATTAACATTACATCAGTTAATGAAATAAGTTTTTTTTATTGTGAATTTAAGCTAAATCTGTAAAACCTAAAATGTTTCTACCATATTTTTAACAGTGAAGTTCTGGCAACCACAGCTGCCGGTATTTTACCGTAAATGTCACAATTTTTTTTTTACAGTGTGTATTACAAACTGGCTAGCAATGAATCTGAATCTTAACATTAATATAAAAATGTAAGAATATTGAGCTGCAGTGATGTGCTACTATGGTTCAACCAAAATCTGTAAGAAGTGTGAATTTGTCCCTGACAATAAAACAAAACAACCCCAACACAAGAAATTACCCTAAGCTTTGTATTTCTGTCCTACATTATTGTTTTCTTAATTCAATAATGTACACTATTGTTGCATAGTTTGTGTCATATTTAAGAGATGAAGTCTTCACATATGTTTTCTCCTCTTAGTGTACCACATGCAGGAGGACGGCTGGATCAAGGTGTGTAAGGAGGACGTGTCAGAGTTAATCCACCGCTATAAGAAGGGAATGTTCTGATCTGATCTCTCATTTATCTGACAGTAAAAATTAAACTGTTATCAAATCAAAGACGCTTTTGGTGCATTCTTTGTTATATATTTGAATTGTATTTTCTGTGACTATCTGTCTCAGTGATGAACTTAATTCACTTATGTTACAGGATAAATATAGCTCCGTGTTTGTGATGACTTTTTGTGCTTATTCTACCCAATTTTTGTATGTGGTTCCAACTGGGTTATTCTCTGGGAACTGTGCAGTTTGTGCCAGAAAAATTCAGAAAAATAATTTCAGTTGAAAAGATTATTGCTGAACCTTCATGAAATCTTTATTTTTTATTTTTAAGGGGACCACTATAGCAGTGCATGGCAGTGCATCCTCCCCAATATTCAGACTAGTGGTGAACAAATATGGGATGCACAGCTTCTTCTTTTTTTACTTTATAGACCATGAAATAATGTTTTAATTTCAATATAGCTTACTTTAAAGGGGATCTATTATGCCCTTTTTACAAGATGTAATATAAGTCTCAGGTGTCCCCAGAATGTGTCTGTGAAGTTTCAGCTCAAAATACCCCACAAATCATTTATTATACCATTTTGAAATGCCTATTTTGAGTGGAAGCAGAAACTTGCTGTTTTCGTGCATGTAAGCACACGCACAGAAAGCGGCTGTCACTCGGCATGTCAATACTAAACTAAGTTCACTTTCATGTCTTATTGCGCTCAAACTGTCAAATATATACAAGGTTATGCCACAAACACACATCATTTACATAAACACAGTCGGTTATGTCTATGAACGTTACCAGCTGGGAAAGAAATCACATGTTTATTTTAGATTTGGGTATTACATACCGCTGTCGCTGTTACAGTTTTTTTTTTAGTTGTTTTTTTTTCAGTATTGAAGCATTGTTCAATACTGAAGCCACATTTTCAAAACTGTTCACATCATTCTATGCTAAACAAACTGTGAATTATTTTTCATTGCTTTCAGACAAAATGCACTCAATGACCACATTTCTCAAAATCCACAAACACTTTTGTCATTCATACTCCACAACCTGCAAAACACTATATATTTTCAGCACATTTTTCAGTTGCTAACACGCTGCTTTCAAAACTGATAAAAGAACATTCAGATCGTAACAATGGCAAACTGTCCATTTCTGCAGGAATTATATTGAAATATAAAATCTTAGCAGAATATTTACTGTGAAATTGAATAATAATGGTTCCAAACACAACTAACTGCAATTTCAGCTGAAAGCCAAGCCAGATGTCCTATCTGTAGTGTTTTTTTTCTGTGATCTTTTTGATAAATGGTATGGATGCCTTCAGAATGATTTTGTTTGGAAACATGGATCAAGGAAGACACATTGGTGGGGAAAAAAGAGTGGCAGAGAGAGGGAGGACTATAAGCCTCACAGTACTGTACATCCATCCATCCATACATTTTCCTAAGCACTTTTCCTATTTAGGGGCATGTAGAGGCTGGAGCCTTTCCTGGGTCACAGGCAAGAAAACACCCTGGACAGATGGCCAGTCCATCACAGGGTTAACAAACACACACACACACACACACACACATGTTGTGTTTCCATGTTTTATGGGGACATTCCATAGGCGTAATGGTTTTTATACTGTACAAACTGTATGTGCTATTGCCCTACACCAACCCTACCCCTAAACCTACCCCTTACAGGAAACTTTGTGCATTTTTACTTTCTCAAAAAAACTAATTCTGTATGATTTATAAGCTTGTTTCCTCATGGGGACCTCAAAAATGTCCCCACAAGGTCAAAATGTACTAGTATTACTATCCTTGTGGGGACATTTGGTCCCCATAACGTTATAAATACCAGGTACACACACACACACACACATACACACACTTACACACACACACACACATACATATACACACACACACACACACACACACACACACACACACATACAGTACATACACACACATTCATATTCACATTCACTTACAGTCTCCAGTTCACCTGTCCTGAATGTCTTTGGATTGTGGGAGAAACCCAGAGGAAACCAACGTCAACACAGAGAGAACATACAAACTCCACAGAGAAAGGCCTCCTGGAGCAGCTGGGACTCCAATACTGCACATACCTCATTATACTAGACATGCTGTTGATGTTTTTTTTTATTTTTTATTATTGCTTAAGGAAATTATTTATGTTTTAATTTAATTTATTTTATTTTATTTTTCACAAGTAAATTTGGTAAATGTTGATGTGTTTTTGTTTTTTTGTTTTTGGTATGTAAAGAAATAGGGTCAGTAATACAGTCAGTAAAATGAAAAGATGTTATTCTTATCCTATAATGAAATACTTATGTGACAAATCATTCAAACTTCAAAGATAAAAGTTCATAGTTTATGTAATGCTCCGTGTAGTTAGTGTTTTTTCGATCAGTGTGTTGAAGGAGTGGAATCCTGGATTCATAAAATATATTAATTATCCTTTTGCATGATTATTGATTAAGTTATTAATTAGTATTTAACCTCATAGATTGTTAGCTGATTGAATAAAATTATTATTTACCATACACCAGTGAGTAGACATTGAAAATGTATGTGTATTTACAGTAATATCTTTCTCTCCAGATTCTGTTGAATTCCAATCAAAAGTTCATGAACAGATTCTGATGAAATATGGATACTGTTTTGACAACAGAAAGACACATTCACCACTTGCCCCTTTTTGTGAAGTTTATTTATTTTTAAAGAATCAAAATAAGATTACAATGTTTTGAAGGCAACCAATATACAAAAATATCCACGTAACTTAATTTAGATTTAGTAACCTCAAATCAAGGAAAATATCTATAGTTTACTGTACTGTACAGATGTTCATGTCAAAGTTAATTAGTAAAGTATCTTAAACATTACAAGAATCAATATTATTCTGTAGTTCAACTTATCTAAATTATGTAAAACAAACAACAACAAAAAAGTATACAAACAGAAAAAGCCCAATAATCCCATTCAAGAAATAAAATATGAAGCCTACATATTGTCTAATGTCATTGATGAAATAGTCCAATTCCACAGTTCATCCAGAGTTAGTTATTTGAAGTTTTCCATGACTTGTTAGCCTTCCCCTGATTTATTTCATATTTTATTTCCCTCATCTCATGCGACTGCTATAATATACTCTGACTGACTATAAACACATTCACAAGTTTCTCTTTTTTCACAGTCAGTACTGATATCACAAATCCTGCAAATTGATCAAACTTGCAAATCAATTATTTGCATTCTTGGTTTTCTCTGGTTTTGTCACCAAAGAGAAATATATACATTTTACAATTAAGTTCTGAGATCAACGTGTCATCTTAAAATGAACAAGTTCAAACAATTAAAGAAAAACAGAAGATGAGCATAAAGTGTGATGAAACAAAAACTTTGCAGATGTAATTAATGTAGAACCCTAATATAAATCAATCCTGTCACTGAAATCTATGATCCCGTGTGTGTGTGTGTGTGAGAGAGAAAGTGTGTGTTTGTGTGTTATAAGCACGATGGACAGCAGGATAAGCATCATTTTTACTTCATCTCTTGCACTCATCTGGTCTCCTGAAATGGCAAAAACATATTACATTTAATTGCACTAACAGTTGTGAAACAGTTGCACTAATGAATAATAATAATACACTTACATCTTTATGCTTTTGGATCTGAATGAGCTGAGCTGTTTGAACCATCATCAGACGCTAGAACAGAAAACACAAATTACAATTATCATGACAGTACAGCTACACCACACAGTTGCACAATTTCTTTTTTATTAGATCTATTGAAAGAAAGATATTGTAGAACTATGCATATACTTCGACTTACTCTTTGATTTTACATTACCAACAATTTATGAATATAAACATATTACTATTAACCATATCATGAATGGCAGAGCCCATCTGTTATTAATAAATATGAGATGGAGATTATGAAAAACTTACCATTGACAGGTTTAAAGCCTGAAAAACAGAAATCCACAAAGATTTAATATTAGCACTCAAATGTGTAAAACATACAGTGTAGTCAATAGTCTGAGTCTCTCTCACCTTTCTTCTTCTGATAGACCTTATACCCAGCAACACCAGAGACAATCAACAGGAGGACACCAGCAACAGCACCAAGAATGATGCCGATGGGAACAGAAGCTGAAGAATCTGATCAAATGAAAACATCAGGTTATTAAAGACTCTGACAATCTTAGAAACTGGTACAGGTTTCAGATTTCAGCAGATACAAAAACAACATCTATGACTGTGATATCTGCAGTACATTAGCACAGACTAATCAGAGACTGGAGAGTTCCAGTGTTCTCCTTTCTCTTTGGAGTGCTACAAGCTGTTCGTGAATAGATAAGATCCCTAAAGTTGCAAAGACTAAAGTCTCAAAACCAAAGAGATATTCTTTATCAAATTTAAGACTGGTCCACGCCTCCTAAAACGCCTCGTTCTAACACGCCCCCACATATCTACCTCACTGTGTGGGAAGATTTGCATAATGCCGCCATGTTGTGAAGACGCTGTGTGTTTCGTGTGCAAGCTAAACTACTTTGTTTGGTCTTCCAAAAGAGGACACGACTAGAAATCGTAAATTGTATTTATAACACTGTTCCAGAACAGTTCAACCCAAATATTCAGATGTGTGCAGCACATTTTATGGAGGACTGTTTACTGATCCTGGAAGAGTAGACTACAATGTCGGTTGTTCTGACTCACAAACTGTAAGTACGTTTTTTTATATTTAAAGAATTTGCTACTGATGATTCAAACGCGAGTTTTTTGGGCAGTGTAGAGTAGCGCTTGTTGTTTGTCATTTCTCCGATCATAAATGCAGACATGGTTTTATGTTTACGCGGCGCATTGCAACACGTAAAAAGACAGTTTAAGTCATTATAATCCGTAATTATGTCCCCGCTGGATGCAACGAATGCCTCGTTTATAATGGGTTTAATGTTTTTGTCTCGTCGACAAGGCATCACAGTACGGTGAGGGGCGTAACATTTCCGTCACACACTTGAGGTATTCGGCCAATCACAACGCACTGGATAGCTGGCCAATCAGAGCACACCTTGCTTTTCAGACTGATGAGCTTTGTAAAAATCGACGCGTTTCAGAAAGGCGGGGCATAGAGGAGAAACAATAATGTACAGTATGTGGAAAATAATGTGTTTTTTGACCCTTAAACCGCATAAACACATTTCATTACACCAAATACACAAAATAATGTTCTTTTTAGCAGCATCATATGACGCCTTTAACATTTTGAGTTTCATGGTCTACTCATCCAGACAATCGCTCTCACCGTAGTTAGTTTTGATCTTGTCCTCCGTCAGAATGCTGCTGATGGTTTCGCCCTGATGTTCCACCACGCAGCTGAACTTGTTGTTCTTCAGCTCATCAGGTGTAACTGTGATGGTGCTCGTCACCTGAAAGGTCCCGTCCTCATTGGGAATAAGTTGTCCCAGATCCACATCCTCAATATGATCTTGTCCGTTTTTCTGCCAGGTGACTGTTACTCCACTGGGGTAAAAACCTGTAGCATGACACGAGACTGGAGACAAGGAAGACTTCTGCAGCAGAGACACCTGAGGAGAAACTGGAGAGAGAGAGAGAGACAAAACTGACTTTTTAGACAATGTCTTAAATATTTTTCTTGTTTTTTGTTTGTGGGGAAAAAAATAAGAAAGTATACATGTACTTATTTACTTAATTATTTTACAGATCTATTCTTGTTTTGTTTATGTATTATATAATCATTTATTCCTTATTCATGTAATGGACAATGCTTTGGCAATACTGTGCAAGTCATGCCAATAAAGCTAATTTGAATTGAATTGAGAGAGAGAGAGAGAGAGAGAGAGAGAGAGAGAGAAACAGAGAGAGAAAGAGAGAGAGAGATAAACATATTAAGATAAACAAAAAGAAACTGTGAAACTGAAAGAGAAAATTAGCCATAGTCTGCAACATTCAAATAAAACAAAGCAAATCTATAAGGTTGCTGTATATTTCTTCTCATTATCTGTTGTTGTAGTCCTGAGATCACATCAAGAGCTTTTATCAGCCAAATAATCGGTTATTAATCCGCCTGACGGCTCAAGCAGATTGAAAAGCTTTGATGTAAACACCTCAATCGATCCGACTGAGCTGGATCTGAAGGATATTTCAATCAGGATAATAAAAGGGGTGGTGTAGACCTAAAATAATCTGATCAATAGAATAAAAATAAATCAAGCATCTTCTCAATCTTCTTCAATCTTGTGAATATGTGCAGTGCCATGAAGCGTATGTCTATCAGAGCCCTTTTATAGATCGATTTACATATGTTTTACTTCTTATGAATGTGCAAGTTCATTTATATCTTATGAACTGGTCAGTGAAGGAGACTGAATATTTAATAAATATCTTTTTTTTTAAACTGCTCTGACATATTTCTCAGCTTTCCTTTTAGGTATGTCATCAAGAAAAGGTGACAGTTATACTTCAGTGACATTATAGCATTTATTTCTAGCGGTGTCTGATGCACTGCGCATGAGCTGACGTTTTGTTTGAATACATAAATGAGCATTTCAATGAAAATGTGAACTGGATTGCAAAGGGTTTGGATTCGTTCAGATTGACAACAATGAGAGCATGTAAACATATCCATCTTTTAGATTATTATTCTAATAGGGTTTGACTCCTGGCCTCATGTTTGTGTGAAAATCAGTTGGTCTAGTGTTACTATATGATACAAATCCCTCATAAATACCTGCTACGCATGTTAATATACAACAACATGTAAGAATATGTATGATTATATCTTAAATATCAAAATGTGATTCAAATAACCTCTTGACGTCCTGCGTGCATTTACATCATGTTTTAGTTTTTAAGCAAGTGAATGCAGAGTAAAGACAGGGAGTGGAAAGGAGATATAGTCTCATATAACCAAACGTTTTATTGTATACAGCTGTTTTATTTCCTGGTGAAAAGGTAAATGCTGTAACGATGAGTGCTCACTATGCAGTGATTATCAAAGCAACTGATATTCCTACCTTTTCTCTCCAGAGTGTCCTTCCCATATCTCACATACTTCTTTATCCACTCTATGCATGTGTTCTCCAGATATTCTTTATAGATGTTTGCCTGTGCTTCAGTGGCCTCCCATTTGTGTTTGGTAATGACAGCTTGAGGATTAGCAGCGGTCCAGGTGAGGGTGCTCTTATCAAAGCTGACGAAGTCCTCTCCATCATAACCAAACTGTGCGTATCCTCGTTTGGTGCCATCATCATGCAGCTCACAGCCGTACATATGCTGCCATGTATGAACACCTGAGAAGAGAGAAACATGATATATCACACTCACCATTCTTCATCTCTTCTAATATCACCTAAAGACTTGATGATTGAGCAGAATATATTCCAATCTTCTTCTTCTACACAAAACCAAACATCCACATAAAGATGAGAGCGATTGTGATTAGCTAACAGGACTGGTTGGTACTAAAATAAACTAGCATTCAGAAGAAGTTACTAGATGAATATGATTGCATATAAACATGAAAACGTTTGTCTGAGTTCACAGCATTAATATATTTGACAGCTGAAGGTTATTCAGTTGAAGGTGAATGTAAGACTCGACACAGAAACAGTGTTTAGTGCTGCTGCTGATTAAACATATGAGCATAATAAACATATGAGAGAACATGGCTACAGATGTTATACTGAAAGAACACAGATCAAGTTTTCTCTAAATGTGTGTTTTGCTTCTAAACGTGTGCTACGGTCGCTCTGAGGAAAGAACATGTCTGATGTCTGATATCTTTACAGCAGCACATTTCAATACAATGATCGTGATATTCATCTGTTTATTTCTGTTGATCTGTAAATAACTCCAATCAGCAGTGTAGAGGAGAGATCGCTCTGTCTGAGTAATGTGGAGCCGCCACACAGAGACACAGAGACGAAACACGCTTGATGTCATGAAGATCCTGTGCGTCATAGAAAATGATTCTTTGAGAAATCAGCAGATCAGTTCATCTCATCTAAACTCTGTTTCACTGTTTCTCCTCTGTTTCTGAAGCAGAACCAGTTCATTTCTAACAAAAGAAGAACTAGATTAAAAAGATATTAAAAGACAAACTTTATGTTGCTTGAGAAAGCAGTTTAAAGCTTGAAGTTTGAGGAAGATTTAAATTTGATTCGCTTTTAAAAAAGATATTAAAAGACAAACTTTATGTTGCTTGAGAAAGCAGTTTAAAGCTTGAAGTTTGAGGAAGATTTAAATTTGATTCGCTTTTAAAAGCTTGAAGTTTGAACACCTGAAATGTAACTTTATTTTATTTTCTGTAAAATCAATGTAATATATTTATATTTGATAATATTTTTTCTTTTTTCTTTTGTATTTTGAGAGAATTTCATGGTACTAATGAATATTTATGCAATAATAATGATCAATTTTTCCATTGAAAATAATTTTTTTAAAATTCCAATATTTTCATCTCGTCTAAATTCACACATTTCTCTTTTTCTCCTGTTTCTGAAGCAGAACCAGTTCATTTCTAACAAAAGAAGAACTAGATTTAGACTTAAATCTGAATCACTTTTTAAAGCTTGAAGTTTAAACACCTGAAATGTAACTTATTTTATTTTATTTCACTTATAAACTTTGGTTCTGACCACAGTAGTTCTCAAGCAAAATGGAGGAGCGGCTGCTTATTGCTGTGGTGGGTTTCCCAATAATCTACACGTGTCCCTGTTTGCGTACAGGACATAAATAAATAAAAATGATGCGAGGACCAAGGTGTCTGAGATTGTAGGTGCTCCTGGTGAGTTGCTGATGTGCATTAACGGTATAGGAATAATAATCTAATGATATAATAAATAATAGTCCCAGTTCACTTTTAAGTAAAAGCAAAAAAAAAAAGTAAACCTTTAAATCAATTTTCCTGATTATACTTACATTAAGTAATGTTTATACCTGATTATACTTAAGTTACATTTTCAAAATGCGCGGTTTTGGCGAGTTACCTTGTAAACGTAGTCTTAAATGAGTTATAAAGTCTTAAACGACCGTAAAGAGTTGTGAGAAAATCAGATATGTGTCAGATCCACGTCAGATGCATCAGGTTTTAAAGAGACAGCGCTGATTTTACAGTGAAGCCCGCTGAAGTCTGTCACTGATGTCAACCAAAGCAATGCTGGATATTTACTCTCTGAACGACCGACGCCGAGAGAAACTCAGAGAGAAGAACGGCTTGAGTGTGTTTCGTCTACAATGTGAGGATCAAACGACTCAACGAGGACAGAAACACCTGAGATCACCTGCCGGCTCGTCTTGCACTGATGCTGACAGACACTGAACGGTCTCTTCCCGTTTCTTCAGGAATTTCGGCTGTGCAGGATCGTGGCATCTTCGAATATTCATCGATTATTTTGGTGAATGACGTGAAGTTGAGCGTTACAGCTGGCGGACGCGTCTATGTGCTTGGCGCATCTACCTGTACATATCTACGGGTATAACACTATGTGAAGGTGGTTTATGAGGACACTTCCTGTGTTCCTGTAATTCAAAAGGCTTTAAAAACATACTAAATGCTGTTTTTTTGAAAATCTAAAAATGCAGACAGTCTCCTGTGAGGGGTAGGTTTAGGGGTAGGGTTGGTGTAGGGCAATAGAATATACAGTTTGTACAGTATAAAAACCATTACGCCTATGGAGAGTCCCCGTAAACCACCAATACCAACATGTGTGTGTGTGCGTGCGTGTGTGTGTGTGTGTGTGTGTGTGTGTGAGAGTGAGTGTGTGTGTGTGAGAGTGAGTGTGTGTGTGTGAGAGTGAGTGAGTGTATCTGTTTACATTTGAATGTTTTGACAGTTGGAGTGTCAGTTGGCATTTGAACAGATTCTGCCGTTTGAAGAAAATCACAGCAACGGCTACTTGATATTGATTGAATGTAAATTTGAATCACTTTTAAAAGCTTGAAGTTTGAACACCTGAAATGTAACTTTATTTTATTTTCAGTAAAATCAATGTAATATATTTCTATTTGATAATATATATATATTTTTGTTTTTGTATTTTGAGAGAATTTCATGGTACTAATGAATATTTATGCAATAATAACGATCAATTTTTCCACTGAAAATAATTTTTAAAAATTCTAATATTTTCATCTCGTCTAAATTCACACATTTCTCTTTTTCTCCTCTGATTCTGAAGCAGAACCGGTTTATTTCTAACAATAAAAGAGAAATTAACTGAATGCTTGATGACGTTTGGTTCGTCTTCCACTGATGCTGACAGACACTGAACTGAAATACTGACAGTGTTTCTAAACCGCTCAATCTACAGCTACACAGCAACAGAACTTATTTTTAACTGAGATGTGAGTTTATCATCTGAATTTATTACGATGAGAGAAAGACTGTTTGCTGTGAGATAACACAGAGACGATAAACAGACATGATTTCTCTTGTGACGTCCTCGCTGGATGAACACGACAGCAAACATGCTGTAATCAGTGTGAACTGACTCACGAATCAGTGACTCTCTGAATCATCCGTTTGACTGAATCACTCGCTGAACGAATCGTCGACTGAGTCTCTGCAGCGGATGTCATGTGATTTTCATCTCGGCCAATCAAACTGAAGCATGAGCTGTTTCTGTGTATTTCAGGTTTGTAATCAGTGACGTTTCTGACTGGATGTTAAAGACACACACGTGACGGAAGAACGTCCCTCTCGGTAGAAACGGCGCTGAAACAGTGTGTTGCGTGGCATGTCCAGGATGTGTGTAACAATACGTGTGTGTGGGTATCTGTGTGTGTGTGTTCTGCTGTTTTAACACCTTTTTGCCCAAACTGAAACATACAATGCTTGAGCCATAAATATATGACTAAATTGTAAAAGTGCTCCAATGTGAAATATTACAAATATCACTATACAATAAAAAAGACAAAAGTGAATATTTCTGTCCTTAGTGGATGTTAGTGTTTATTTAGCAAGCACATCTTTATTATCGATATTTCACTGGCAAGTAACTAATGGCTTTGTCTGTGTGTGTCTGTGTGTGTAGGTGGGTTTGTTACCAGCTTACCTGCTGACTGGTTGAAGCGTCCCTTTATCGTCTGGATGTCGACTTTGAAGGTTGGATGTGTGCCAGTGAAAGTCTGAGTCTCTCTGTCCCAGTAATCTGCTCCCTCATTCTGTCTGATCCACTCTGTCTTTGGCACAGCTTTCATTGTGTTGCTGTCAAAGTACACAAACTGCCCTTCATCAACCAGACCAACCGCTGTGAACTCTGGGAAGTCAATGTCTCCAGACACAGCAGTGTAGAAGTATCTCAGAGAGTGTGTTCCTGTGGACAGAGATAGAAACATAATCTCCACGTAAAGCCTGTTCAAAATACACACTTTAAGAGTTACATCAACACTGAAATTCACAATTAGGCTACATTAAAATAATCCATGCCATAGCAGGCGAAAACAGTTACCTATGTTGCAATATTTAAATCGACTAACAAAAAAAGAAAAAAAGAAAAATGTCACCCTGATAAAGCCAACAAAAGGACTGTAGCTTTAGTTGTGTACTGTCCGTGTAAATATGATCATATTCCAGATCTTCCTAACTTGCCTAAATTTACATTTGAGACCTTGTCAGTTATTGTACTATTTTTAATTAAGACAATATTTACTCATAATCAGTCTTATTGGTCAAGTGTGCTAAAACACAGAAGTCATTTAGATTCCGGTCGCTTAACAAATATATAACACAAGAAGAGAGATAAAAACTCTTATATCTAGACGCAGTAAACTCTGGATATGGGTTATCTGCAGATAACAGATCACTTCAGACAAAGACAAACGTAAGAAGAACAAATCTGTTATTGAATATATTACTTGAAATCTGTCCAACAGTTAAATCATTCAATAATGATTTGTATTTGATTCATGTATTTAACAGGAATGTGTTATTATTATTATTATTCATTAGTGCAGTGGACTCAGTCATGTGAAAGGACTGAAATGCAATACGTTTCTGGCATATTAGGATGCAAGATTAGTGTGAAATATGAAGTTTAATAAAACACTTTCTCTCTCACACACAGGATCATAGACGTCAGTGAAGGGACTAAACTCTGTCTGTTATCCTAGGGTTGTCTCCTTTATGCCTTCAAAAACGTGTAATTAAATTACAGTTGCTTATGAAAATGTTAACGATTACCAATTTTTTTTTTTACACTCAGTTTAGGACACATGCTTATTCGATAACTGTTTTATTTCCTTTGTGGGTTTATGTATATGCTTTATTATTTTTCCCCAAGGCATTGTTAGATGCCAGTGTTTCCTCTCATAGCTACAGTATGCAAAGACTAGATTTCAAAAACATGATCATAGCTATTAAACTATTTCTTATGATTTTAAATCCGTATTCAACCTCGGAATGATCTCAAAGTCAGTCAGATTTTGTGGTGGCTGTGCTTTAAAATTAAATGATTATGATCTTAATTCAAGAGATGAAGGGTTGTCCTTATTTAGGGAATATACTGTGAGGTTAACCCTGCCTGGTTTACATGTTTGATAATGATTAACAGAAAAGTAATCAAAAGTAATTTAATAGTTACACTACTTATTGCATTTTAGATAGAGTTACTTGTAATCTGTAAGCTATTACATTTATAAAGTAATCTTCACAAGACTGATTATGGTAAAATGTTTGTTGTATTACTCATTTTGGATAAAAGCGTCTGTCAATGTAAATGTTTAGTAGCATTGTACTGCCATCTAGTGGCCAAAACACTGCAGTTACAATTCCTGCTAAACTGTGTTTTTTTCTTTCCACTTGTTCTTTAGGTCTTCCATTTCTATTTAGATTTTTATTCTGCTGTAATGGGCATTTTCCCCAATACATGGTAAGACAATCAGAACGCTACAAGGTTTATTCCTAATTAATAATAGTAGACTAAAGTGTAGCAGGTTTATTAGCGAGTAGCTCGTCATCTGTATCCGGGCAGAAAAACGCCTCTCAGGTCAGAAATAAAACTGATCTGATACAGAAAACTAGTTTGCTCTGGAACATGTTTCACATTTTCAAACTCAAACCAATAAATATATTTGTTAGCTACTATAGCTATAGGCTATTTATGTATTTATTTCTTTTATTACACGCGCATGTTGTGGAATACACTGCGGTTCCTATTCTCCCGTTTCTCAGCATAAACATTATTATTATTGTTATTATTATGAGTAGTTAAGTCAGTTTTGTGAGCAAAGAATAATGTAATCAAAATATAACGTCGTAGACAAACATGAATAGGATAACGTTACGTTTATAGTATGTTCTTTAGGATATTAAAACATTAAAATATATAAAACATCGTCTCTGAAAAAAGTGTTAGTGACACGAATCTTTGAATTTAAGCGGGCTGCTCGTGCAGGTTAGGTGTGTTTCAGCGTAACGGAATAACTTTTGAAAAAAACAAACATACAACAAATGGTAAACTATGCGTTAGCTGGTAAATGAAACTAATTTACTCACCAGCATAGGCAAGATGAGCTCCAAGGAGCAAAAGCAGTACATGCCGCATTATTTCTTTTGCCTGAGAAATAATTCCTTTCAGAAAAACGCTTAAAATAAGTGTACCAGACACCTCGGCTGTCGCGTGCGAACTGGTAACGTAACGTGAAATGTTTCAGCACTGACGCCTGATAAATAGCTCTGAAATTCTAGCCAATCGTTTTTCTTGACTAGTCTGACGTCACGTGTTACTATGCGGTATTTCCTTCACTGGGTTGATTATAGACTTGATCGCTGAAAAAGTAATTAAATGAATATGGAATCATGCGAGACATATGGCTGTGTTAGAATTGAATATTTTCGCATTGGTTATTTGCTTTCAGCTTAAGTTAATGGAATGCACTGAAATGCTAAAAAAAATCAAAAAATCAGCTTTATGTGATTTACTGTATGGCTATATTAATAATATAAATCTTACACTGTAGTTGTTGACAAATGTTTGTCATTCCTGAGGATGCCACTGAGGAAGTTTACTGTAAAATAAAGAAAATTAATAATCTCACGTTTATCCTCTAAGAAATGAAGTACAGGGATGAAATCACTATCATACATGATCACCATCCTCTTGAAGTGACGACAAAAGCTGTAAGTCTCTGTACAGAAACATAAGGGATTTATAGGACAAAATACAAATTACATTTCACTTCTGGATTATAATTTCATTTGCAATAAATGACAAGACTGGTGTCATGTAAGATTCTCATGCTTAAACTGATATATACTGTATATTTACTCAAAATCTCAAACACAACCTTAAGGCTGATCAGACGAGGAGGGTTGTGACGAGACCTTTCCCATTTACTGCTTGACACACAAAGTCTGAACAAATCGAGATGTGTACGTGACATAATCGTGAAAAGGACTAGCATGCACACGCTGTGTTATGTTTTTGTTTGTTTGTTTAACAAATTATCATCCCATGTTTCAGCTAGTTGTTAAATCATTTTTACCAACTGTTTTGCTGCTTTAGAATGACGTTTTTTCCATTTAGAATGAAGTTTCTTTCTTTTTATGTACATTTTAAACTGATGTCCATATTTAATAACAGCATAACCAAAGCAACTGTTATTATTTTTTATTATATTATGATATTTATGTCCACAGACCAATATGATATTATTATTATTATTATTTTTGTTGTTGTTAAATTATACACACAGACTTTTTACTAACTTATATATATTTCTTGAGAAGCAGGCCATAGCAGATCTGTGCATTAACCTGAAAAATGCATGTTGTGGATGAAGATGACCCCATCAGTAGGCCTGTCGCAATAATCAATATATCGACTTATCGTGCAATATATGTACATGACCTCAATACATTTTGGTGACGCAATATATCGCCCATTATATTTAATTAAAAATTAATGTCGCCGGGTTTTGTACATTCCACTTGCGCCTGTGTCTTTTTCAGCTTCTTGTACATAACGTGGTGTAGTCATGAGGTGCTCGTTCACATTTAAAAATGCTTCTACAAAAAAAAGTTTAATTTGCAGATATGGCCTTGTTTAGAGATCTGTGTCTTTGTGCATACGGACATCTGACTGCTGAGTAGTGATTGTGTTTTTCAGCAATAGTGTGCACCCTTCATTTACAGAGAAAAGAAGGTCAGGGAAAAATCTCCATACAAGTTCTTTGTGCATTTTTCTTTTTTTCTACTTTTTTGTTAGAAAATGTTTATTTAATATTTATTCAGGTTTTTTTTAAGGTATCTAATATTTTGATGATCTAAATATTCTTAAAAAATAAAAGTTTGTTGTGTTTTGGAAGTGTGTCGGCCTTCTTGCATTATTATGCTGTTACATTATGATTATATATTCAGTGGCATAAAATGGTCTTTTAATATAAAATATAAAATTACAATAATATTATTTCTGGGGCAATATATTGCACAACAAAAAGTTGTTATCGTCACAGGCCTAACCATCAGTTGTTGTTTTTTACTTTTTTTAAGCTATTTTTAATGTTAATAAATTACATCACATTGCATTACATATAACTAATAACATAAAGACTGCTCAAACTGATTCGCTCTCACTTTTATTGTGAGTAGCAGGAAAAAAACTTTAAAAAGAGGAATGCTATCACATAAGCAATTCATCTAAAGAATGACATGTATGACATCAAAATACCATACAGACGGTTCCTTATGCTTTCAAAATGCTCTCGAGGTATTTTGATGTCAAACACCGATCGATCTGCACATGCAAACAAAGCCAAAACCTAGATATTTTAGGCAATATAGAAATCCTAGCCAGGACGCGTCCTGGGAAAATGGCACGTATGGTCACCCTATTATAGGCCTAATGTCTAAATGAAGTGGCTAACATGTATTCTTCCCTCATCTTGAAAGATAAAATAAGTTAATTAAGCTCTGATGAAGATATGATAGCTATGGATGAGGATGAACTGCAAATATGCAAACAAAAGTAGCTAGTATAACCGTGAATACTTCAATTAAGATAACAAAAACTTCCAATTTAAACAAGATTGTTCTCCAACCTGTACGTTTTGCTAAGAGAGAAATCAAGGAAACATTCTTCAATGTGATTTGCATTTTTTTTGACAAATCCTTCATCCTTCAAAGAGCAAGTTTAGGTATACATTTGTCACACTTTAAAAATATTATAAAGACATGCACAAAATACATAATGTAGCCTATAAAGCTACACTACACAGGCTATACATGTTTGGTTATCTGTTGTTACCACGCTACAAGGGACCATAAGAGATGGTGTTTCTCTGTGTCCTTAACTGAACTCTGTTCCGAGAAACCATGTGATATCATGGCTAAGTCCTCCAGCATCACATTCACTGCATGGCGGGTTTGGAATAATGTTGGCTCGGAGCGCCACCTAGTGGAAATCAATATATACTAGAAAGACTAAAACGCTTGTTGTTTTAGTGGTTTTAATGTAAATTCTAAGACGTTAAAAAGATTATGCTAGGTGTAATCTGTGCCAAACGACGACCAGGTATTTTCAAATATCACAAACAACCAGCAGTTAAAGCGCATGCGTCGTAAACAGTCCGTGGAAGTAAAGCTGTACTAATAGACCAATAGGTTTGTAAACATTCAGGATGCGCGCGCATCATGGTTGCACAAAACCCGGGAGAGATAGCCTTTACGGCTAGAGAATTTCACGGATACGGTACAAAATAGTTAGGTTTAAAAAGATTATAAATTATATTGATTAGATGTCATTTTCAAAATGCTGCAAGTGACGTAACTGCGACGTCTACTCTGAATTGGTCTATAGACCCATTTTTTTATTTTATTTAATTTTTTCACTTTTTTTTTAATTTTTATTTTTATAACAAAACTTGTAGAAACATACAGAAACAGGGAAGCGACACATGAATATATTCCAACAAAAAGCAATTATAAAAATAAGAACAGAAAGCAAATATTCTGGATTTGCATGTCAAATTAATTATTATCCATACATAAAAGTGCAAAAATAAACTTATGTTCTTTTAGAAAAGTTGTCATAACACATCAAAAGTTTGGCACTCTTTTTGTTATTAGTAAGTCTAAGAGATGAGTCCAATTCAACAAGAAAAATGGGGAAAGACAAAGGAGATTTAAGCCATTTTTGCTTATGAATGAAGAATTTTGCATTCAATATAAGACAATTAACAACATATTCAACAGATAATAGCTTTGGATTTTCATAATAAAAGATAACATCTTTGAGGACGAAGGTGTGGGACACATTTGTAAGGTTAAAAACATAGGTGCTTAAGTCAACCCATAATTTGTTGGTAACACCACAATACACTAAAAAAAATGCTGGGTTAAATGCAACCCAGTGCTGGGTAAAATAGGGACAAACCCAGCAATTGGGTTATTTTGACCCAGCATTTTTCAGAGTGTATAACATTTTACATAACATTTACCTATTTTATCTCACAATTCTGACTTTTTTTTCTTGCAAATGCAAGTTTATATCTCCTATAACTTTATTCAAGTCAGCAACTGCGAGTTTGTCAATTCTGAGGAAAAAAAGCCAGAAGTGTGGGATTATAAACTAAAAATAAAGAATGACGAGTTGATTTTTATTACCAGAATTGTGAGATATAATCTCAGGATTGCAAGAAAAAAGTCTGAATTTTGAAATATAAACTCAAAATAATTTTAAAAATAATTTTACTCCATGGCTTGAATAGACTGCTACGTTAAAACTGTCATTTTCGCATTTGGCTCCCAAACTCTGAAATAGCCTTCCTGATACCGTTCGGGGTTCAGACACACTCTCTCTGTTTAAATCTAGATTAAAGACACATCTCTTTGGCCAAGCATTCAAATAATGCATCTCATAATCTTTTACTGCAGTTATATCAAATCAAATGCACATTATTATTCTTTAGTTTGGGTTAAACAAATACATTTTACTTGGTTGGAACAGCAGCTACGCTAATTATGTCTCTATTTGTTTCTCTGTCTTTTGCCATGGGATTGACATCTAGGGGTAACTAGGATTTACACAAGCTTCAGTCTGGATCCAGAACACCTGAGAAGAGATGATGAGGACCTCAGATGATGCCAACCCTGAAACAACATACAGAACTACCACATTTTGCTATAAGTTTGATTGCATCATATAATAATTGCTGTTAATTTTAACAGTTGTTAAATAAGTTGTTAAATAACCCGCAACCTTTGGGTTACGAGTCCGACTCTCTAACCAAGCTTTGTTTAAGGTCGTCTCCCGGGAGCTTTGCCTCTGTTTCTAAGCACTGTCCCCTAAAATATATCTAAACTACAATGTATTGCTGCCTTAGACTTTTGATGGCTGCAGCAGCACACAGCAAGTTCTCAATAAAGAATCCTGCTGAAGATACCCAAGAGTCAGACCGTGGTCATCCAATGCATTAAGGTCCTATATGTGGCCCTGGAAGTGCATCCTCTTTGGAACAACAACTCGCTCAAATGACTATTTATTTGGTCGTCATGTTTTTTAGTACAGAGATCAGAATTTTTAAAAACATTTTGTGGTGGAGTGGAAATTATGCAGATCTAACGAACTAAAACTAAGGCTAAATTACATAAATCAAGTGGATATCAAGTCCTCTTTCAAATGACATGTATTTTATTTCACTCATTTAATTAAATTGGCTTGTGAGATTGAAGGATTTTTTTTTTAATCTGCACATGTTTAATGATGTAGCTCTTGTGGATTGACATTATTAATAAATGATTTGCACTACTTCTAACCTTTTTGTACAAAGCCTTCTATTTTTGTTAGAGTAAGTTTTGCTGTACAGTCTTCACCATTTGTAAAAAGGATATGTAAATAAACAATGCATAAACCTACACTGGCTACACAGGTTTGGCTAGTATCTATCTTGATTTCTCTGTGTCCTTAACTGCACTCTGTTCCGACAAACCACGTGATATCACGGCTAAAGCACTGTTGTTGGTTCAGAGCGCCACCTACAGGACACTAATAGCCTAAAAGCTCACATTTATGATGGAGAGAAATGCATATGTTTGGTGTTTTAGTATATGTTCTGAGAGGTTACTATACCTTTAAATAAACACATGTCATACAACAACAGAGCATTGCATTCAAATGGCACAAAGACGGTCTTCGTTTATGCATTAGCGCAAAACAGAAGGCAGTGCGCATGCGCCGTGGAACCGAAAGTAAAACTGCGAAAGCTGCACGAATGTTTCGGGGAAGCCCGACAGAGCTTTAATACGCCAAACAGGCACAGTTAAACAGAGAGTTGTCATTTTAACATAAACAGCAACGATGCCTGAGATTTCGACCATATATAAGATATCGATCATCGCATTTACATTGTTTTTTGGTGGTACGTTCTGCTGCATTTTAGTACTCAAAACTACATCTTGTGTGTGTGTGTGACCAATGAACATAACTCTCATAATCTCTCTTATGTTGCAGCTTCCGGTTCTGGATGTCCGGTTCTGGAGTGCTGGTTTGTACAGGAGAAACCGGGTCATGGAGGGGGCTTCTCAGTACCGATGAGTCAAGAGAAATCTCTAATGTTCATCAGGACTGAAGCCTTCAGTGAAGAGAGCTTCTCTCGACTTCATCCTCCTGCAGACATCAGCCCATCCAGGATTTACTATGTGACTGGTCAGTGTCAATGCTGTTTTGTCAAAATGATTTGTGAAATGTTGTGGTCACGTGGTGGTCTGTTAATGTTTATGGCAGGGGTGTCCAAACTCGGTCCTGGAGGGCCACTGTCCTGCAGAGTTTAGCTCCAACCCCAATTAAACACACCTGCACCAGCTAATCAAGCTCTTAGGCATACTAGAAACTGGCAGCCAGGTGTGTTGAGGCAAGTTGGAGCTAAACTCTGCAGGACAGTGGCCCTCCAGGACCGAGTTTGGACACCCCTGGTTTATGGTATAGTAGTATAGTATAGCCTAAAACCTACTGTCCTGCAAAATAAAAATACCCCTTTTCTACACCTACCAGATCCAAAGCTAACCTACAACTACAGATGTTACAGTATATTGGCACCTGTTTTAGAGTGTAAAGCAAGTATTTGATAATATATTAGACGAAATATTAGATGATATCTACACTTTAATGTACTGTCCTCCTCCAGATCCAGCTGGCACTTTCTGCAGCGCCGCTCTGAATCCACCCAAAGGCTCTGTGAACAAACCCAAGTGTGAGATTAACCCGTTCATGCCTCACGCCTCCATGGTCAGATGGGCGTCTGCTCTCACTGACTCCGCCCAGAGTCCCGTCTACCTGCAAGCTGATTGGTTCTCAGTGGCAGCACAAGGGCTTGACCAGCAGCTGACGCTGTCCAATATCATGAGAGCGCCTTCAGCTTCTAAAGAGCCACAAGGTAGAGTCCAGGTTCATTTACATTTAGTCATTTAGCAGATGCTTTTATCCAAAGCGACTTACAAATGAGGAAAATAAAAGCAGTCAAAACTAACAAAAAGGCAATAATATGAAAGTGCTGTGACAAGTCTCGGTTAGCCTAACGCAGTACACGTAGCAAGGGTTTATAGATATATATAATAAATAAAAATAAAAACAAGTAGATAGAATAGAAAAAGAATAAGGAACGCTAGTGATGGAGGATCACTTTTTTTCACAAAGAAAATGAGTAGTAAGAATAGAAAACGAATAGAGATTGCTAGAGTTAGAGGGCCAAATGAAGACGGAAGAGATGTTTTTAGCCGTTTCTTGGAGATGTTCCTCATATATTGCAGAAACAATAATAAATAGCCTATACATTACTGCATATAATAATATATACTATATATTTGCATAATTATACTTAGAATAATAATAAATTATATTAATTGTGTATAATATAATTTCAGTTTTTTAAAAGAACCAAATGTTAGACCCCAGGTTTCTCAAATATTGCATAACAAAATGTGTTAATATATTGGGTAACTGCATAAAATAATATATGGGCACAACAGATTATATAAAAAAATTATAATTAATGCATATTATGTACTTTATAATTATTATTGGTAGCAGTGTTATTAGTCGTATTATACATATGTGATTTCAAATTTTATTTTAATTGATTTGCATTCCAATTACATTTTGCAATCTATATATCTTATGATGTGATTTCATATTTTATTTGTATTTAAGTTTTAAACAATTATTTGCATTGCAATAAGATTTTACAAGCCATGTATCTTGGAATTTGAGTTATTAAAGTAAAGCCTAAACTCTGTTTAACCCTTCTGAGCTAATGATGGTTAAACACTCTTTTTCCTCTCTTTGTTGAAGTCATCCTCAGTGTCTCCAGTAAAACTCCTGTGGTCCGCTCTAGACTGGGAGAAGCGGTTCTGTTAGACTGCGGGTTCTGGGTTGATGCGTCTTCTTCAGTTCACGGTTCTGGATTCTCTATCGAGTGGCGCTATCAGTTCCGGGGTGAAGGACGGCTGGTCCTCGCTTACGACGGCAAGAACGATCGGTTTGCAGAGACATCAGAGACCGGAGCCGATATCGACATCACAGGCCTCTATGAAACCGGAAACGCATCTCTGGTTCTGGAAGAATCTCAAGTGAGACACTCAGGAACCTACATCTGCACGGTGTATCTTCCTCACCTGCTGGCTCAGGTAGCCGTGGACCTGGAGATAGTTGGTGAGATGCTTGTACACTTCAATTATGAATATGATACTGTAGCCACCTTGTTTGTCAGCTGCATATTATATTACACTACAGTTATATACTGAATATTAATCAGTACCTGTTTTCTTTCCAGAGCCTCCATCTCTCTCCATCTACCCGTCTCCTCTCCCTCTGCTGGTTCCTGGGCAGGTGCTGGTGGTTCAGTGTGAGGCGTCTGGTTTTAATCCTCACACTCTGGATCTGAGCTGGGAGTTCAGCGGGGCAGACGGGACGTCCCGCTCTCTGGGTCAGGGCAGTGTAACGGGTCACAGACAGGCGACTGATGGCACCTTCAGTCAGAGCAGCCGTCTGGAGCTGGACTCGGGGAAGCTGGGACTCGGTCGCGGTGGAGAAGTCACCTGTGTGGCCAAACAGCCAAACATGACACGACGAGCTGCTGCGACTCTCAATGTGATCGGTGAGTTATTCTGTCATAGGAAGATTTAACCTTTCAACCTTTCACAAAAGTTCAAGAACACTGATTCATCCCACTACTGTGTTCTTCTATATTGTTTTTAGACTTCAGTGCATCTTCTATTTGCATTTCCTGAAGAATATTTCTGTCAGTCAGAATGTTCTCTAAGTGTTGATGTGATGTTTTGTTGATTTCAGGTGTCAGTGCTCCTTCTATTGAGGACTCGATGGCGATGGTCGCTGTTGCACTTGTTCTTTACGGCCTGATAAAGTTTCTTTCATGGACATTCTGCGCTTCTGGTGAGTTAAATTTCAGTGTGGACACCTAAATGTTAATTTTTTTGTAGTATCACATTAGAATTATTTGCTCTATAGTAAGAAACATTCAAAATAAATATATATATATATAAAATATAAAATGCCGTATTGCAGTTTATATAGACTAATATTGTGTTTGTGATATGAGATGCCCTGGAATGTTTTAATCATGAATTTTATTTATGATTATTTTGTTTGTTTTCATATAGACTCCAGTGAGACTGAATTAAAGGATAAGGTAAACAGTGTATTTTTTTGCAACATTGCAAACAACACTCTCAAAAGTTTTACATTTCATTCATGCAATCTTTAGTTTTCAGGTATAACTGTATACTTATTTGATATCTCTGTCTGTTCTGCAGAAGCAGAAGTAAACCTGGACCTGGAGGTGATTTTAAAGGCTGAATAGAGTGCAGTGAAACTGGTCTTGTAAAGAATCCTTTCAGAATAGTTGAATGTACTGAGTTTCAATCTTTGCTTAAGATTTTTAGATTGCTGTATGTGTTCGGGTTGGTTACTCTGTGTAAGTTTTCTTTAAAAAAATTTTTTTTTTAATGCTGGTTATAGAAAATGCTGGAAAAAATCTGCAAATTTTGTCATGTAAAATGTAAATTAATTGTATTTTAAATACTACTGTTGCCAATATTTAGTTTTGGGACTCTGAGCTTTGACAAACAGAACTTTATTCATGTAAACTCAACTGTTTTAATGTTTATCAATGTGAACTCGACCGTTTACAGATATACTAGTTAGTGTAGAGCTTCAAAGAAGTAATGATCTGTTTGTTGAGAATCATTAGGACGTTACCTGCCTTTCTGTCTCTTAACTTTTGAAGTCGTTAGAGGGGATCGGGCAGCAGATTTTTTTTCTTTGTGTTATAAACAGATAAAATACAGAGAGTATATCATATATGTAATATAAAGTCACCTGATGAGTGTGAAGGGAATGCTCTAAGCACAAATTTGATTTCCCATTCAAACTTACTGTTTTATTACTTTATCTGACTGAAATAGTACAAATAATAATCAAACGTCTCAAACTAAAGACCATATTGCAGCATTCTTTGTAATATTTAAATTGTATTTTCTGTAACTAGCTCAAACAAAAACAAAACAAAAAAAGAACTTTATGGGGTTTAATGTCATTATTTTGTAGGTCAAATATGGCCCCTGTATTTGAGTTGCGTTATTGCGCAACAATGGTAATAACACGATGAATACTTTATATAAACAAGTATGATGTCAGAAAAATGATTCATAAAATTATTATATTATATTATATTAAATTATATTATTATATTAAATAATCAATATTACATTTATTAAATTATTTATAATAGAGGAAATTAATCCGTGTATCATTCGATCATTCGTTTTTTAAATTTAATATTGAAAGTAGAAAAATAAGAAAACGGCTCCTTTATCGTTTTTTCATTTTTTTTCCAAAAATTAAAAAATGAGAATTCAGCTTAAATTTTATTTTTTCGCTCAGGGGTAGAAAAATGAATAAACAGCTTGAATATTTTATTTCTACACGTGGGCGGGAATTAAACA